CACGGGCTGGGCAGCGCTGCCTGCCAACGCAGCACATGGGGTGCCCAGTCCTGGTGCATGCATGGGCATCGCACCCCAGGGTCACTCACAGGGACAGCCGTGACCTGCCCAGCCACGGGCAAGTCCCCAGTAAACCCCCGGGCTCCTGGGAAAACCCAGATTTTACTGTGGGTCTCGTTTTTGCTGTAGCATCAACTGGCAAAGCACCCAGCTCTAACCCTGACTTGATGCCACCCCCACAGAGGGGGACACAGGGACATCCTACAGCCCCCCACCGCCATGCCGCTATGGCCTGAGGGACAGCGGGGAGCCCCGGGCCACCGGTATAGGGACAGTGCCCAGGCAGGACGGGCACGCCATGGTGCCCCTTCCCCATCTGGGTTCAGCCGTCCATGGCTGGGGGATCCCGGAGCACCCAGCTGTCCCCTACACATACACCTCACTGCCATGGGGGATGCTGCCCCTCCATATGGAGCACCCAAGAAAGGCACCTCCTGGTCTGCACCCCCTCCACGCAGGGCACCCCAGGCCCATCTCTCCCCCTCCAAGGCACTGCCGCCTCAGCCCTGATATTGCCTAGGGCTGGTTCACCCTCCACACAGGGCACCCAGGAAAGCCTCCAACAGGGCAGCCCCCCTTCCATGGGGGGGCTGCTCCTGTACACCCCAGCGCACCAAAGTCTGCTCGCCCCTGGGGCTGCCCCTCTCCATCTTGGGGGGACCCAGTCCCCACCTCACTGCCATGGGGGCTGTTCTCCCTCTAGGCAGGGGGCTCCAGTTCCCCAGGGCTAGCACCCCCAGCCCAGACAGGCTCCCCCAGGGCTAACCCTACCCCACCCCCAAGCACCCCAGAAAGGCACCCCTCTCCACTCAGGACATACCAGAATGGCACCCTTGGTCCCGTTCCACCTCCCAGGGCACCCCAGAAATGAACCCTGGGGCTGATTCTGCACCCCAGAAAGGCTTTCCCAGGGCCACCCATCTCCACCCGGGGCACCCCAGAAAGACTCCCTCAGAGCCATCTCTCTCTGCCAGGGCACCCCAAAAAGGCTCCTCTGGGGCCATGCCAGGGCATCCCAAAAAGGCTCCCCTGGGGCTATCCCTCTCCACCCAGGGCACCCTGGAAAGGCAGTCTCTGTTCTCGCACCCAGGGCACCCCAAAAAGGCATCCTCTGTGCCCCCACCCAGGGCACCCCGGAAAGTCTCCCTCAGGGCTATCCCTCTCCACCCAGGGCACCCCG